GTTTCTCCATCTAGGCTCTTACCCTATTGTTTATGATTAGTTATTGCATTACTTTCCCCCTGTTGTATTTAGTTACCTGTTCAACTAGCTGTAAAAGAAAACAAAACAAAACAAAAAAACAGCCTTTCACCTTACCATAAGCCCTTATAAAATATTGCTCCAAAGTAAATTTTGGAGGAAGTAGACTGCCATATATTTATTTTTTTCCCCAGCTACATCTTTGCTGCAAACAAATTGCTCTATAGGAATAGGAAAGATAGTGTTTTGAATATATGTTTGGGGCAGCCAAGTTAAAGATGCCTAAGGGTAACTGGAACTGGCAACCTCATTTAACTAGAAACCTCTTGGGCAATATCTCCAAGAAGAGATCCAGTGTACTCAATTAGTAAAAATAAATAATTAAACAAAACAGAAATCCGGTTTGTTTTGATTTGGGTTGTATGTTGCCAAATAACTGATTTTTTTTTTCACATTAAATGTAGAGAAACCCAAGCTGGTGGAGCTAAATAAATATTGATTGAATGAATGCATGATAGGGATCTGTTAGAATAGCTGAGAATGAATCCTACCGGTTGTCAGTAAGATAGATAAAAAAATGAAACACATGCACTCATCTAGAAGGTCTTAAATAAACTAGACTATTAGTTATTGAGTGCTACAGATTACACATTCTTATTCAGAGACTAGATCTGGTTTCATTATTGGATGAGAAACAAGTTAGCAAATACAGTTTGAGAAAATCCAATGTTTCATTCATAGAATCATAGATTTATAGCTGGAAGAGAACTTTAAGGTCATTTAACCCACCCATTGCATTTTACAAAGGCAGACACAGAAGCAGAAAAGTCAAGAACTCCCTTGCCCAAGGTCATTCATCTAATTGGCCCCCCTGAGATTTGAACCTAGGTCATTTAACTTCTGTGTCAGCATTCTTGCCACAATATGACATAAGCATAGCTACCTTGTATTCCCATACCATTACCCTACTGCAAGAAAACGGATAGGAAAGCAACAGTTGAAACGATTTGGTCTTTGCACTCAACTTAATTTGCAGGCATATTTAAGCCTTGAATAAATTGGATCATTGTGGTTCCTTGGGGGCATATCTATATTTCTTATGGAGTAAACAGAGTAGCAGATTTTCTGGCTTCCCTTGGTGTCTAAATACTTTTGCATTTCACGTCTTATGACTTCAAACATTTCCCTCAAAATCTCTTCAGGCAGCTGTAATTTGCTTTTGTTTTTCTTTTCTTTTTTTGGGGGGGAGGGGAAGGTCAGTTTATAGAAAGAAATAGATAAGCTATAGGAAGGTGGTAGAAATGTGGAAGTTGGGGGAAGTTAAACTTCTCTCTTAAAAGCTCACATTTGTAAACATACTCCCCGTACCAGTGGCAATAAATAGTCACCACACAATGAATGAATATCTTATATAGTGAAAAGGAAGATAAATGCTTCTAATTTAAGGAATTATATAGGCACCTGAAAAGAATCGTGTAATTTCCAACTGTCATCAGCTCCTTTCTCCAAGAAATTTCTGCACTTATCGATGAGAAAGAGTCTTGACCACACCTAAATGTTTTTTTTTTTAATTTGGGGAAATGAAGCATTTAATGTTCAGAAGACAAAGGGCAGAAAATGCTCTTGATATAAAGGTAAAATTCAGCAGAGGTAATATATTAAGTTGAATTATAATAATAATATTTTATCAACAGTATCAAAGGAAAATGACTAAAACCAAAATAATATTTTTTTTCTAGCATGTTACATGAAATTATGATCATCATGCCATTTTACATGGACATTTCTTACTGGAGAGAAATGGACAAAACCCAAATTCATGGATTATTTAAAGGAAATATATTCCTTTTTACTTAAATAACATTTTATTATTTTTCTGATTTTGAATTCAGTTTTTGGTTGTTTTATAGAACTTTTCCATTTTATATCTAGGTAAAAAATTTCAAACTTTCTAGCTACCACAAATACTGTGATGTTAAAAGTGATTACGATAGAAAGAAAAAAAATTCTCTATCCAATGAATTGTACATTCATTCATTCAACATTTATTTACGAAGTGCCTATTATGTGCCAGGAAGAAATATAAAACAATTTCTATCTTCAAACATCTCACATTCTATTGGGACAACAAAAATATATTGAGAAATAATTATATAGGGAGAGAGATTGGACCTATGATTTCACTGATATATGAAACTCCCAGATGAAGAACTTCGTCTGCTAAGGCAGATCAGGACTTTCTCTGCTATATATAGTCTTAGAGAGGTATATGAATCATTGAGTAGAGGTTCAATGAATTGCTCAGGGTCATTCAGTCAACATGTATCAGAGACACAACTCAAGATGTTTCTGGCTCCAAGTCCAGTTTTCTATCCACTATATCATTGTTACTTCATGCATGTATGTACTCACATATGTATGTGTCTACATGCATGTGCATATGTTTCTATGTGTACACACACATAAAATATACACATTTTACATAGGAAATGCCTGACCCTTAACCTGAGTTTTGAAGGAAGAAAGGGACTCTAAGGGTGGTGAGGAGCATTGTGTATGAGGCAAAGTATACTGTAAGTAGCTCACAGTTATCCAGTAAGTAGATATCCAGATCATGTTTATCTAGAGCTTTTGATTCTGAAACTTCACCTTGTTGCTTTTTACCTCAAGCAACACTTGTGTTTCTGGTGAAGCAAGAGGTGAAACTCAAATTAATCTGTTAACAGCTCTTATTCAACCTTGCACAGATCCATGAGATAGAGGTGTACTTTTGAAATCATGAGGTCCAACCCCCTCATTTTACAGATGAGGAAACCCAGACATACAAGGTCACACTACCAATAACCAACAAAACCAGAACTAGAACCCAGCATTACCATTGCAGTGCTTTTTCCAGTAAGCCACTCCTAAGAAATGATACAAATGAAAGAGAAATGAAATAAATAGATGAGGTTTTTATATTGTCTGGTGTTTTCATTTTGTTTCTCTAAGATGTCTGTGTCCCCAGTAAACAAGCTGTTTGTAATGATACTTACACATGAGTGAATTTAACTCTTTTTACTGAATCATTTTTTAAAAAAAATTCAAATAACTAATTTGATTACTTTGCCACTGAAGTGGCTGATGAAAGACTTACCATAAAAAAAGAAAATTGAAATAGGGGTGTGCCTCTGTGAGTGTGTACATGAAATTGTGGGGACAGCCATTAGAGAATTTGCTTACAAAAACCTGTAGAATAGGGTACATTGATGGTTTTTCTACTGGAAGGGTCAAATAAGATTTCTCCCCATGTTGGCTTTGTAAACATTTTATAAGTAGCCCATAGTTGAAGGTATTTATATGATGCCAAAACCAGGGATTTGAAAGTTAATTTTTTTTCAAATAAACTAGTTGTATTATTTACATGAAGCTAAACAACTGATTTCATTTTAACCAAATTGCCCAGTTTATTAGCAGTAGGTAGACTGCATCTGTAAAGAAGAACTCTCTCTTCAATGTACTATTCATCTGTTTTTCATTGCTTAACATAAGCTATAAAAACACAAACACAGCATTTTTTTTTCAAAATATCTTGCCCAGGTGCAAAGGAGATTTGACCATGTGATGACCTGCCTACAAATAGGATTGTTTGTAACCAAAACACCATATATAAGTTAATATTTAAATATTATTTAAAGGTTCTTATTTTGGTGTGGGGACCCTCTAATAACAATAAAAATAATGAATAATTTAATGGTCACAGTATTTACCAGAATCAAGTTAAAAACAAATTAATAAACACTTTTTATTATGTACATGCTCAACAAAAGGAAAAGCATTTTATTAAGCTTAAAGAAGATGTAAATGAAGAATAAGGAATTCTGCCTTCATGTTTGCAATGTAGAAATCCAACAAGTAGTTACTCATCTCTCCCAGTTTGTGTTTATTTTTGCTTTAACTAAGTACTCTATTTGGCACAAAGATTTGTTTCAAGTTCAAACCTGGCAATTTGCCTATTTGCAGCTTTCATTGGTTTGTCCCTGGAAAAGCAACAGGCATTTTCTAAGTCTTGTAAGAAGCAACAGTTAGGCAATCTAGCCATGGAAAAGTCCTATGTCTGCTGCTGGCTACAGGCAGTAGTGAAAGTAAAAACAATGCTTTCAGTACAATTTTTAACACCTCCAGGAGAACCAAAGGAGGACTGACCTTTTTGAAATAAAGAGAACATGCTGTTCTAATAAAACAATCTTCTCTTTAGTCATCAGCTTTCTGCTGAATGCACAGGCTTTAGAAGCAAATGAAAACACTGACCATGGCTATCACGTTCTTGTTTAAATCTAAACCAGCACTATTCTATGGTGATACTACGTCCATCTGCCATCACTAGGGAACCATTCAACGCTACCAAGACTCTCAGACCTAAAAACCTCTGGAAGCCAGCTTTCAAATAACTAGCTAAATTTAGTTTCTAGCTTAGAGACTATGGAGTGGGGAGGAAGGCAGAGGGATTAAAAAAAAAAAAAGGCAACTTCATAGTAATCTTATCCAGAACCTCAACAAGCAGAGAAATAGCTCCATTCAATAGTATATTCCCTATAGCCTATGACCAGAGATCGGAGTATTATGAGGAGTTGTAGGTAGAACTCTGTCCAAGGTGCTTAAAATGCAGGGGAACCCCAGCAGGCTGCAGATGGCGCCCTTCTTTATGGAAAGGGGAAAGGAAACAGAGGTAAAGTTACACTTAGACTCCGCCCAAACACAATCCAACTGGGCAACTATCAACAGCCCTTCTCTAAATAGTGTAGAACACCTTTAATCTGGAAAACCGCAGCAGACTGTCTCAAAAATACAAAGCAAGGTGGGGGATGGGAGGTAGGAGGGAGATCTTGTGTCTAAAAGAAAACATATGGAAACATTGCAATGCGGTGAAGGGACCAAGAATGTGTCAGTTTCAGATCTGCATATTATTCTTGCCGATTTTAAAATTCACAAAGTGTACTCACCATGTTGACTTCAGAAACCATATCTATGCTGGCGACATCTATCCTCATCCCCACATCAACAGGAGGGCCTGAAAGGGGATAATGAGTTTTTGTTATGTAGTTAATCTTGTCCCATATGTATGTGCTTGAAGAGGAGAAGGAAAGAAAAGGTGTGGGGGAAGGGGAAGGAAGGATTGGTTGTATTCTAGTAGGTTACATTTTAACATTTTCAAGGTTTCCGCCCTTGCCCCCCTTCTGTGTAGAAAATAGCTCGGTGTACACGTGTGCGGCATTAAGCATACAGATTGTGTGTGTGTGTGTTTCAGTGCATTGGGTGGTTGTATTCATTTACCTGAGCTTGTGGGTACTGGGATATACGGGTATGTTCCTGTGTGTATCCATAGAGCATGCTGGATAGTGCACACTCATGAAAATGATTTGCATTTCAACTGACGTTTACCTTTGGCAAAACAGGAGAAATACAGTTGTGTTACAGGTTGAAAAAATATGAAGAATTACCTCCAAAGTCTGGCCTCAAGCGAATGTCATATCCTTTAAGCAATCTATCCACTGTCTCTTTCACGTATGACATGTTGCTGGGTTCATTAGCGCTGAAGGGAAGAAGTACGGATTGTATTTAGAATCAACACTGAAACTGCAATCTGACAGAAAGATAGATCCGCACACCTCATCCCACATCACAAGATTTTAAAATCCAGACAGGCATTTATTCTTTTTTTCAAATACTAGAAACACACACACACACACACACACACACACACCCAACGACAAGCAGCTCACCTTTGTGCACAACAGACCATAGCTATCATCATAGGGAAAGACAGAATCCCCAGGCACTCCCGATTTTGAACTGTCCACATTCCTAACTCTGATTAAAGAATTCTCTTTTCTGTGAAGATTCAAGGAATGCAACTTAGTCCAAGGCACAGCAATAATTCCGGAAAGGACTTGCGCATGCGCCCCGAGGTTGCTCACTCTCAAGACACCTTGTGCCTTGCAAACAATATTCCTTTCGAAACAGTCAACAGCTTTCAGACCTTTCGAAGTTCTTGGTGTGTGCTCCGCTTCCTTTAGGAGATTGGAAAGGACCTGCTGTTCTTATACACAAGGTCATACATGTACATTCATAGGTAGTTTGGTGCACAGATGACTGTGATATTTTTTCCGTTTTCTTGCCCCACTCTGATTTACTCAGCTCACCGCCCGGATCAGAGTCAGCCAGAGATTGGCATCTGTCGGAGGCAGTCGCTGAGGTCCTGGGATTTGAAGCTTGCCCGTTGAAGGGTGTGCCAATGACCAGTCCGGACTATTGCAAGCATGATCTTATCCTCCCTGGTCATTTCCCAGGGGAGGCGTCCTAGGAAACCTCAGTTGTCCCCTACCCAGCTCTGCTGGGGAGGGAACAAAACCAGCGTCAGAAACAGGGCTAGCTCAAGCTTTCCCCTACCTCCCTGCTAACCCACCTCCTCTTCCTCTCGGACCCACAAGCTTTGCGACAGGGACTAAAATAAATCGTACACACACACACACACACACACTGTGTGTGTGTGATTTTAAAGCCTGGGCTGAGGATGGAGATGGGGGCAGCATCAGAGGTAGTTGAAACTGTGTTGACCAACAGATTAAGGTGGCTCCTTAAAGATCCAGGGGAGTCTGGACTCCAAAATAGACTAGTTACTGCTACAACTTTTCAATACAGAATCAGAATCTCAGGTTTGGAAGGAACCTCAAACACCATCTATATGTGCCTACTTCTTCTTTTCCTTCTTCCATTCTTACTATTCTTCCTTTTTATTCTTATTCTCTTCCTTGCCTGCCCTTGCCTTCCTCTCTTCCTTTCTCCTTTCCTTTGTTCCTTTCCTCTTTCTGTTTCTTCTTGTTCCCTTTGTCTTGCTCTCCCCCCTCCCCCCATTACACTGGAGGGATTGAAGAAGGATGGAGCAGAGACATAGGACAAACACTGCTGAATCTGTGCCCTTTTTTAAGTTGATAAAATATTCTTTACATATAATCCCCAAAGTAGCAGTGTTAGCTTGTGGAAGATTGAGTAGGGATGACAACAGGTTATTTATATATAGGGGAGGGGGTGAAACACATCCTCCAAGAATGAGAACACCTGGAGGATTCAGGAGTACTGGTGCCATTCCTTCATTCCACTCCACCTCTACCCCCATCCTCTTGCCTGTGGAAGATGTGAAGCATCAGTCCTCAACTGGAGAAACAAGAGACCAAATGAGATCTGTTGGTGAGCCTCTGGTCTCATCACTATAAGATGTTGCTTTAGAAATTGGCCAACATCCATCATGGATAGCTGAAAGCACTTACTGATATACAGGAACATCTCCACTGTCAGAACACTGAAAATTTTTGTTTGCCTTATATATTGTCTTTAGAAGAGGGAATATTAATATATTAATAAGGAATTCAAGGTGCACTGGAGATGACTAGTTCCAAGATGGCAGTCTGGAATGGTGAAAAGAACACTGACTGTAATTAGGGGACTTGGGTTCAAATTCTACCTCTAATGCTTATTATTCATGTCACCTTGGACTAGACCTAAATTTTATCATCTGTAAAATGAAGGGGGCAGATCAAAGGGGGGGCTGAAGTGACTGCTACTGTTATAATTATATTCCTGTAAGTTGCATAGGAAGCTGATGATGATAACTAGCATTTATGTAGTGCTTTAAGGGTTGTAAAGCACTTTACGTATGGTAACTCATTTGAGCTTCATGAGAACCTCATAAGGTATGTCCTACAGATATAATTATTCTCATTTTATAGATAAGAAGAACAAGGTTCAGAGATGTTAAGGAACTTACCCATAGTCACACAGCAAACTTAAGCATATGAGGGATAATTCAAGCTCAAATCTTCACTTGCAAGATAACTTAGCAATTCATAGCCACAGTCTTTTGCTTGAAGTAGTGGTTTGCAATAAATAAAAAGGACCCATGTAGGCAAAGGTAAAGACAAAAGTAAACTAGGTGAGAGAACCAAATCAAATGTCAAGTAGTTGTATAGTTAAAATTATTAATTGTATATGAATAACAGACAGGCTTACTGTGTTTAAATGACTTAGAGGAAACCAATGACAGAAACTTCAGTAATGGAAATAAATTAAGAGTGCTCTTCTGCCATTAATCATATAAAGAAAAAAAAGAGGATGTTTTAAGTAGGGTCCATAGTACTAAGTGGTGTATTGCATCAAGAGAACGATTGACACAAGATTGGCAATAATATGATATAGTTTGAAGGGCCCTGGTTGATCTCTTGGACCCCAATTTCTTCCTTATCACTAATTTTAACCTCCAGAGCTTCATTTCTTTTCTTGTAATGCTTTGATTACAATTAAAATAAAAAGCAACATTATAAACTGTCATAGTGACGACCGTTCCCTGGATTGTACAATTTATCCTTCTGGTCGCTAAATCTTTTGGAGCCTTTATTTTCATGTAAAAGATGAAAGGTAGTATAACATAGTAGGAAAAGTGCTGGATCAGGAATCAGAAAGACCTAGAATTGCATCCTATATTGGATGTTTAGTAGCTCTATGATCATGGCCAAATTACTTAATGTCTCTGAGTCCCAGTTTCCCCATTGATAAAATAGGAATAGTAATAACTTCTACTTTTCTGGTATGCTGTGGTCAAATGAAGTAATATATGTAAGAAGCCTGCTATAAACCCTCGAGTGACATAGAAATGTGAGTTATTATAAAGGAGAGGGTTAAACTTAACAGTTGCTAGAGTTGCTTTCAGCTTTATCATCCTAGGATTATATGACAGATAACTTGAGGATTTTTCAAAATCATGATAAGAGGGAACAACAGCTTGGACAAGACATCAAGAAAACAGTTAACATACTGAAACTGATCATATTAAAACAAAAATACATCAAACCACATGCTTAAATCAGTAAAGAAAAAAAAAACCTTTGATGAACTATAATATGACAGTCATTTATGCCAAAAATCCAGCAAAGAATAAGCACAGAAGGGACATTTTTAATAAGATGAAAAGTATATGTCTAAATCCAAAAGCTGGTCATTCTCTGAAATGTGGAAACACCAGAAGGTTTTTTTTAAATACAGTAGCAAAACAAGGATGTCATCTCTCACCATCATTATTTGGCACATTTCTGGAAATGCTAGTGAAAACAAGACAAGAAAAAGAAATTAAATACATAAACATAGGGATAGAGAAGACACTGATTGAAATGAATGATTCAATTAGCTAATTACCTTATGGTTTACTTAGAAAACCTAAGAGAATTAGCAAAGACATTTTTTGAGACAATAGCTTTAATAAAGGATCAGGATAGCAAAAAAAAAAAAAGAAAGAAAAAAAGGAAAAAGCACAAAATAACATTTCTATGTATCTATAGCAAAATCTGGGAGGAAATAATAGAAAGAGCAGTCCTATTTAAAATAACCACCAAATACATCAAATATCTTTGAGTCTATTTACCCAGCAAATTCAAGATATAGATATAATCATAAAACACAACTTGAATAAGAAAAATAATTGAAGGAATATTTATTGTTGATGGTTGTACCATGCCAATATGATAAAAATGATACTACCTAAATTAATTTATAGATTCATTCCTATGCCAATCAAATTACCAAGGGGATGCTTTATAGATCTAGAAAAAATAATAACAAAATTGATTTGAAGTCTTAGCTCTTGAGGGAAAAAAAATTAGAAGTTAGGAATGTAGGAAAAATAACACTTCCAGACCTCAAGTAAGACTATAAAGCAGTAAACACCAAAACATTTTTATATTAACAAAAATAACAGGAAATTATATTAATAGGACAGACTAAAGAAAGAAGAATGAGAAACAACTCAACTTAATAACTCAAAGTTCACTAAATCCAAGATGATAAATTACTTTGGGAAAAACTGTCTATTTAATAAGAACTGCTGGAAGAACTGGAAAACAGTTGGGTAGAAATTGGGCTTAGGCCAATATCTTACACAATATATCACAATAAGCTCAAAATTAACACACAAACTTAATGACAAAAGTAATACCATAAAAAAAAATTAAAAGAAAACCAGGATCAGCTACTTTCAAAAACTATGGCAAGGGGAAAAATTATTAACCAATTAGGCATTAGAAACAATCATAAAATGTACAGCAGATAATTTTGATTACATGAAACTGGAAACCTTTTGCACTCACAAATGAAAGCAACCAGAATAAGGAAGGAAGCTGTTGATTCACATTAATTAGCTTGATAAGGATCTGATAGGGAACATATATAGGGAACTGACACAAATACTTAAGACCAAGGACAACTCCTCAATAGCTATGTGGTTAAAGGCTATGAAGAAACAATTTTCAAAATGTTAACTATAAACTATTAACAACCGCATCAAAGTGTGCTTAAAATCACTAATAATAAAAGAAATGCTAATCAAAATAACTTTGAGGTTCCACTTCATACCCAGAAAATGGGCCAAAAAAAATGAATGCCCTTTTACTAGGAAGTGGCTAAATAAATTATGATACAAGAAAGTAATTAAATGATATTGTGTGATAAGGCATAGTAGTCATGAAGAATCTCAAGAAATGTGGAAAGGTTTACATGAACTAATACAGAGTGAATTAAGCAGAATCAGGAAAAGATATATCTAAATCTATGTCTATCTATATATACATGCATATATGAATATATATATATATACATGTATGTGTGTATAACTATGTGTGTTAAATGGCTACAACAACATAAATGGAAAGAAAAACAACAGCAAAAACAAAAATCCTGAATCACATTAATCAAGCTTATCCTAGAAGAAAAGGTGAAAAAAAATGCACTTTCCCTGCTTCTTTGCAGAAGGGTTGGATTTATGGGTGTGGAACATTGTATACATATCACCATCATCATCATCATCATCATCATCATCA